AACTTCTAGATCCAACAGAAAAATGGCAGACAGAGCTGAGACCCAAAGTCAACAGAAGAATCTTGTCATTCCATACATGGCTGGTGTGTCGGAGAAGATAAAATGGATATTTGGAAAACACCACATACCTGTGTTTTTCAAACCCACTAACACACTGAGACAGAGGCTTGTACACCCTAAACATTGAACACCAAAACATAAGAAGAGCAATGTAGTATATGCAATCCAGTGCGGTGAGGAGTGTTCAGAGCTCTACACTGGAGAAACCAAACAGCCTCTACACAAGAGGATGGCCCAGCACAGGAGGACCAACAACACAGGACCAGAATCAGCAGTTTACCTTCATCTAAAGGAAAAAGGATGCTCATTTGAGGACAATAATGTTCACATTTTGGACAGAGAAAATAGGTGGTTTGAGAGAGGAGTGAAGGAATCCACTTATGCCAAAGTGGAAAATCCTTCCCTCAATAGCGGTGGAGGCCTCAGACACAACTTGCCTCCCATTTTTCATGCTGCTTTTTCACCAGTCCCCAGGAAGATTAAGACCACTTCATAGGTTCACCAGGGAGGCAGCACTTAACAACCCACTTGGGGATGAGTGAGGGTTTAGGAGCAAGATATCCACATCCCAAAGACTCTTCTAATCACATCTCCTATTGTCCCTTCAATGAGCCCATCATGTTAGTGAGAAACACAGCCCCCTGGAAGACATTTATGCGGTCTCCCCTAACCAACTTTCTAGACTGGAGAAGCTGCTTGGACAAGCAGTGAAACATATCAAATCAAAAGAAAAGAAGTCCAGTTGCCATGACTCAACCTCCAGATTGATCATACCTGTTCACACAACTGCAGAGAACTTGGAATATGATTCCACGCATCCACTGTCCGCACACACAGCGTCACTTGGTTTAAAATCAGACATGGGATGAATTTTTCACATCTCAGTGAATTACAAACTCAGAAAATTGGGTTGCATATTTTATACAAACAGAATAATTTTAAATTTAGCCCATAAGTAACATTTTGCTATCCTGTCTTAACCACTCCAATCTTGCTTCTTAAGGCAACACTTTCGTTTTTCTTAATGAGGCTTGGGCAATTTGGGGCCCTCCTGATCTTGAACTGCAGCTCCCGGCATTTCTGGCTGAGGCTGCTGGCTGTTGTAGTAAACCACAGGCTCTCCACGCTCTAATGAGATTCCTAATATGGGTCCATACCTTTAAGTACCACTGATGCGCGGTCCTCCCACGCCTGCTCAGAAGTGAGCCCCCGGAGTTGCAACCCTACTCGCAAACGAAATGCGAAGAGGGTGGAGACTCAGTCCGGGGGGCCCAATTCGTCCACTGAACAGGCAGCCGGAGCCGGTGTGCATGGTTCAATGGGATTTGCTTCCACCTCGACGCCGAATGGTTTGCGGCTGGATGGAGCCCTTTTTTCGAGCACCGCGCCGCGAGCCTCCTTTCCAGGCCAGCCTCGCCCAGCTGCTCGATGATTCTCGCTATGGTTTCATAGAGGGGAGTCGCGCAAAGCCCGGCTGGCAGGCCCAGCCACTTGGTTTCACCAAACACCTTACCTTCAGTCCAAACACAGAGCTTGTGGTATAAACTGTGAGGCGACAATGAGAAATCCTTTTGAAATCACTGATTGGTTCAGCGGTCCAGAAGAGAAAGAGGCCCGATACCGCAGCTGGGCTC